AGTAAGAATTGCTCACAAAGATTTTTAAGTTGTGAAATTGTGGGATTTGGGACAATTGAATTTCAAAGACACACCACGTCTCATTCACATTTCATTCCAGTGATTTTACTCATTGATTCTCCTAACAATGATATTTTTAACCTTTATAATTCATCAGGAATATAGCACAAGCAAGTATTGGTGAAGTCTATCCTCTGCTAATCAATACTGAACAAAATTAGGTCATGGTTCTTGGTTTCTAGGCAACCACTAACTTCCAATTCATTTACTTAATTTGTCTTTATCCTAATTAGGTCTAAAATAGATTGACTGCTGTTTGGAACCACATCTTTTGTATCATCTGCACTTCTACAAAGGCCAATGATGATTAGCTTTACAGGATTTCCAGCACAGGCCCCACAAAATGAACTTCCCCCATAACTTTTTTCCTTCCACTATGAGAAACTATTATTTAAATATATTAATGAAGAAAATAGTGGTGAAATAAAAAAATAATCTTCATATGTCAGGAAGAAGTCAAGTAACAACCAGGTGCATAGTCTCATGTTCTTTCACCTGCAAATAAGAATAGAAATCTATTTACAGAAAAGCACACCTTTTTTCTAATTCATAAAACCATGAAAAGCATTGAAGTAGCCTTTCATAAGCAGTATGCATTGTTAGTCTCTTCCCTGCTATCTACCTCTTGTATCCACTTCAACCCCTCTACAACTATTGTCAAAACACCCTTCTCCAGCTTCATCCTTCCACCTAACTGCCTTCCTCCCTTTACCTTTGATTTGTATCACATAACCTGCTGATGTGTAGCCCTCTAATCCCTATCAGTAATCACTTACCATGCCAACAGCTCTGCGCTTTCAGGAAACCCCTCCAGGAATCTGCATTTCACTCAACTACCCTCCAAAGCTACTTGGAAATTGTTTCATTTTTTTCAGAGAGAAGCTGAGATCTTGACCTTGTAATTCACTTGTTGCACTACCATAATTTTACTTCTCCCATACTAAATGACTACAGTCATTACAACTAGTTGCTGTCTGATCATTTGTTATAACATGGTTTAATGAAGTTGTTTATCAAAGTCAGTAGTTGACTAATCTGGATTACTGATTATAATGAGGAAGAGGGTTTTTTCTGCAATGCTGTGATATTAATAAAATACAACAGAGAACTACAATGCTCTACTTTCCTTTACAAACATTAACTCCCCAGGTCTTAGTGCTCTCAATTATTAAGTCAGCATAACAACCAATAGCCACCACACCTCAGAAATTAAAGTTTAAACCTTCAGACTATTTCTACCATTTAGGTTTGACCACATGACTTGCAAGCAACCAGAAAAAGCCTACATGCTGGACCTATGTCAGACAACTAGCAGCAGGGGCTGCTGAGGCTATCACTTTGTGACCCAGCCACATGCTCAAACTATTCTGTCCTTTACAGAGAAGCAACAGAAAGAGAAATCATTGCCTACTACCCACTTACTCAGTGATAATAGGCACTGTCTCCCGAGTCTCCCATTTTACCCTTTCCCACTAATTTGAAGCTTTTGCTGTGAAGTCAAAGTCCAAACTGAATTTCTAACACAAGAAAATAATAATCCTAAACACAATGAAACTCTAAAAAGATACAATACTAAACTTGAAAAGGTATCATTTTGTTACAGACAAAAATTACTATTTATTTCTTCATTTATTACAGTGAATATATCAGACTTTCACAGTTTTGAAGTTTAATTCAGTGGAAGCATGGGTTTAGCAACTCTAGAATAGGCTGGGCTTACTGGCACTGTTTCATGTATGTGATTGTTTCTGGCAGTGACAAGTCAATTAACTCACATTTCTTGAGGGACTCTATCTCACTGCCTTAGAATAGTGTCTGAATAAGTTGTTTCCTATACAGATAAAAGTTTCATGCCTATGATGGACAGCTGCAAAAACAGAAAAGATTTCTTTCTCCAGGTTATTTTTTCCATGCCAAGATCTGGTATTTACAATAAAAAAATGTGAACATGAATTTCGAAGAACAACTTTGGTTGGAAGGAAAAAAGTAATTTAGTCCAACCCTGATTTAATTCAGAAGGCTCCACGAAGTCAATATAAAACTTAGCAGACAAGTTTGATATTTTACTACATTAAGATGTTTCATAAGCATTTTTGAATGTACCCATTAGTCTTCTGTGTTGAGTGCAGTTTTAGCTATAGGATGATCTAACTTAATTATTGCCTGATGCAGGCTGAAGGAACTGGCTTCTATAAAAACAAATAACAAAAAATCCTATTCTTTTGGAACAGGTGTAGAACATAACGCTTTCATTTGTGGTTACAACATTAGTTTTTTCTCCTCCCTACACACATGGATATTCATCTGATGCTATTTTAACCATACAGCCATGTCAGCATTTTCATATGCATGTAAACAGCAGACATTCTTCTGCACTTCAGTATCTTAGTTACTCTACATTGTACAACAAACTAACACATACTAAAGAGCAGGAAAATAAAGAAGTTAATTGTCATCATTTGCATCAGTACTGTTCTAAATCTAACTTTTAAATCACCACATGACTTTTTATCATCTCATTCATTCATTCATGGCTATGAATGGTGCCAAAGTGTTTGAGGAGAGGCATGTATAGAATCTATGGAATGATTTTCGAGCCTAGTTTGAAGATTTGCCTGGAATCTGTCTCTCGCTGTGGCTGATTGGAGATTGTTAACTTGGAGTCTCCTCCTTGGGATGCTGCCCCTTTTGGGTTTGAATTTAAGATTGAGGTTAAGTTTACAGCGCACCAGCAGATGGTCTGTTTGGCATTCTGTGCTGGGCATCACGCGGGTATGGTGGACATCGCGGACATCTGTCCATCGTACCAAGACATAATCGACGAGGTGCCAATGCTTGGATCTAGGATGCATCCAGGTTGTCTTCAGACTATTTTTCTGCTGAAAGATAGTCATCTCATATTTTTGTTTATAATTACTACATTTGCAATTATCCACCTTGATTCAAGACTGCTGATTTATACAGAGAAAGGTCTCCCTCATGTGGAAATCTGTCTACCAACTGTAAAATAAAAACTGAATTTTGCTTCTTAATAGAGGTTCCATTGCTTAAATTTGCAGATTCATTTAGGGGAAGTATCACTTACTATATTTTTGTTTTAGTTCTTTGGAGCTATCATTACGGTGTGAAAGGAAAAAAATATGTTGATAAGACAAATCATAAGAATTTTAAACATGTATAAAAAGACAAGCACAATACTTGCAAATCCAGTCAGAACACAAGGGAAATTAGTCTAGACAAAATTCACAGGTTTTGGTATAATCCTGCATCCATCAGTTTCCTCAGCTTTCCTTTATAGCTGTGCTGAATACCTTTCGAGGTGTTCCCACACATGTGATTTTCATGTATTGCCTTTTCATGACACAGAAGAACTGCGGCCTAAAACTATAAGTGACTGACAACTAGAAATTAGTTAATTATACGGGCTGTTAAGACTGCAGAGTTAATCTGTTTTGGCTACAAATATTTATGATTTCTCACATCTAATTGCTGTGGTTAAAAAATAAGGCCTGTCACATTTTGCATTTCAGAAATTAATTAATCTCATTTTTTCCTCCCCAGTTTAAATGCTTTAAAAGAAAATCAAGAAACAAAGTTTCATCTGAACAGTCACAACTGTCAGGCTTTTTCCCCCTAAAACAAATTGACAGATTTGACCCAAAGTCAGTGCTTTCAGTTTTCTTTTGCTAGAAAAAGAGGAAGTCTTTTGAGTTGACCAGGCACATTTTCTTATTTCACTGTTGAACAAAAAAGTAAAAACACCAACCATGTTGACAGCTATGGTTCAAATGTCTAATATGTATTGGATAGTAAACACAATTAAAGCTTGTTCATATACATGCTGTAATACTAAAACCAAAGTAAGACAAGATATCTAAAGACAAGAAAAGTGCACTTGGGATTTACAGCTTTATTTGGGTGCTGAGAGTTGCCTGGTAAAACTCATTTTTCCTGATCTTGCAGAAAAACTACAAAATAATTCCTCAATTACTTTCACAGTCCCACAGCTGAAATCATTAAATCTATTGCACTTTTTTGAAGCACCTCTGCATGCCACACTGCGAAGGAATAGGAAAATTTTCAATTTACTTTTATCATTCCCACCAGGGAGATCTTCTTTCATTCCTTCTTTATTTGTATCTCAAAATAATTCACAAACCATCTGAAACCATTATAATTGCTCAAGTACAACATTTCAATGCCAGTGTTGATATAATTTGGAAACCAAAGACCAGACTTGTGATCATCAACAAAAACAAAAAAGTGATGGAAGAACTGCTAAGGTCATAGATTTTGGCTGTTTTTTTTTCTTTTTTTTAATTATACTATGTAAGTATATAAATGATATAAGAATTTAACATGCATCAGAATGAAATCTAAAAGTATCACACATCTCTGGCGTAAAGCTCTTTGGGGCAGGTTCTCAGTCTTGAAATTTGTCAGGAAGCGAGACTGAACCCAAACAATAACAAAAACCAACACGCTTCCTCTCCATCAGAGACAAAGTGAGCAGTCAATACAACAGAAAATACAGAATAAGAATGTTTCTTTTATTGCTGGTAGTGTCCTTTTTATCCCCTCCAGATTTAAAATTCACTCACAAGACACAATTTAAGTACATCTATTAAAAGAGAACCATGGCATCAAATCCCCATATTGATTAGTATTATTTCATAACAATTAAAAAGAATTACCATCCAAATTCCTCAGCTTCACACATCTCAATTTTTTCCCTGATGTGTTGAATTTTGTAGTCCTATGAAATTTTTTTTAAAAATCATATTTTTATTTTTACAATTTAAAAAATCATCAAAAACTGACCCAGTTTGCCTAGAGTGATACATAGTCAAGATGTGAAATACACTGACATTTCCAGCTCATTCCATACTTATATGCCATTACAAAAGAATCATCATTTTACTGAACACATAATCCCTTACTCAATAAGAAAGCTCTTTGGCTTGGTTTACGCCCCAAGAAATTTTGCAGCATATCCATTCCATCCAAAGATCCTCCAGGTTTCAAAATAAGGTTTCTGTATTTCATCCCAGCCTGAAGGTAAAGCAGAATGTTAATACTTCTTATCTTGCCAACTGCCTCTTTTTCTGTATTTTTTGCATATTTAAAAATCCACTCATGATAAAACAACTTTCCTCCTTCCAGATTTCCTTAATAACAAATCAGGATACAGCACAAGTATAATTTAGATCTGCTGGAAGAACTCAAGAGAGCAGAAATTCAACCAATTCTTGAAGAAATTATTTTTCTTGTGGTTTTACACTGGTTTGGAAGCTACAGTCATAACTTGTCTGAAAGACATATAACAAACATACAATCTCCTCAAAATCTTCACTGATGAATTATCCCTGTGACTGACTGGTAGGAAAAAAGCCACAACATCTTTTCTCTCTTAACCGATGATTTCTCTTTCTTTAATCTCTGTTTGGAGAACAGAGATGATACTCCAGAGATAGACAGCTGTAGCACTGTAGAATGACATGCACATATACACATATTATATGCACAGTAGTATATATAATACATCCAAACATGTAATGGGACTTAACTCAGGTTTTACTTTCAGCAATAAACATTATTGCTTCAGAAGGAATGGATTCCTATTAAAAAAATGAATGAAGTTTCTGGGACAACAGGAAGTAATGAGGAGTTTCTTAATAAGAGGTTGTATTTTAAAGAACATATTATATCTGGAGAATTTTTGGCTTCTGAGACATGACTATAGATAAGGAAATGTTATTGGCATGCAGATGTCCCAGATGCTTCTGATACTGAAGAAGACACTTTTTTCCTTTTAGTCAGTATATATACATGCATACACTTCCCCCACAACTCAAAGCCATGCGATTACAGGACCACATTGCTTCCTGATTACTGTAAAAACAAGCACAGGTCTTTTTAAGTGATGGACTTCCAAGACTTAATTTGAACTACCATTTGCAGTCTGCATTACATTAGCCATTTAGAATTGTCTGAATTACTGCTGCAAAAACCTAAAAAATTCACTAAAAAAAAAAAAATTCACTGAAGCACTGCTTATACTTCATTATTTGGGTTAGTTTCCTGAACATCAGCAGCAAACAAAGATTTTATTCCTTGTCAATTAAAAGTATTATTTGAGTAGACTTGAGTCTTTGCTGTTGTCCCTTCAGAGCCAGAACACTCCTTAGGGAGTTCTAGGGAGACCAGAGGTTATTTCAGATAATGTGGAAGAACTGAGGAGTGTGGTAACCAATTAAGTTAGTTAAGTGTTTGCTGAAGAATTTTTACAGATCCAGTCTCTGAGACTAGATTGTATAACTGTTGTTCAAAACAGGAAGAGAGGTTTTATTCTAACAGGAAGAGGTAAGCCAAATTTCTAAAAGCCCTAGTCATAACACCATAACAACCTTCTTTTCCTGCTATTCTGAAGACTAGTCTAACTCTAGATATAATGAACTACAAAAATCAAACAGTTATCTAGTATTTGTTTATAAAACAGTTTGTTGCATCTTGTGGAACACTATTGCACTTAGAATGCTTCTTTGGGTTGAAAAAGAACTAATATGAGAAGATAGCATTGAAAAGTGAGGGAAAAAATCTCCACTGTTACACCTCAAGTTATATCAGCAATCAAGGCAAATTGTGTGCACATATACAGTAGAAAGTGAGTGACACACACACATGAATAATCAGTTTTCTTCCTAACTTAGCCTGGATAGCAGGCTTCCCATTAGAAGAGGTACTAGTTGTCTTTCAGCTGTACCACAGCAAATATTAATTCTTATCATACTTAATTTATTCTCAAAGCCTCCCATACACAGGCAAAGAAAACAAAAATTCTCACAAAAAGCAGAATAAAAGGCATCCCCCAGGAGAAGTAAAGGTAACAGAGCAATTCTGGTGAACTATGGCTTAGGGTTTTGACTATACAATCACTCAAAGTGTTGAGACTGCAAAGTAAAGCAGAACAAAAGGTCTGTGATGACACTGGAGGGGCACCGTCTGTGTCAGAACAGAAAACTGACACGAAGTCCCACAACTTTGGCACCAGTACCCTTAAACCATCTCTCCCAAATGCTAACAGTTATAAAACCCAGCAAGTCTGACCTCTCCTGAAATGCTATTTTTAGGATCCACATGAACAACATTTTATAAAAAGTTATTTTATTCTCTCATTTAGCTTGATACATCTTCTCTGCTGCTCTTATTTGCAAGTGACAAGACTGCCAATGAACAAACAGGTCTGCTTATTCTCACATGTACCTGTCATGAATCCCCCCCCCCCGTAGTATCACTCTTGACCTCCAAACTCTTTGTCCCTTCTTCTCTAAAACTGTTAAGTTGGCTGCTTTTCTCCATAAAACCCTTTTCGGTTTTACTGGCCTCACCCCATCTGCTCTTTGGACTCCCCTCTTTGTTCAGATCAAAATCTAATCTTGTTTACTGTCACCATCCTCTAGAGCGATGGACAGTTCTAGAAGTTCTGGCTGCTGTGATAAGGAAGGAGAGGAAAGAAGGCAAATTCCAGGAGAGGAAAAGGACAATCATACATTTTTCTACTCTTTCCTTTATTTCTCTCTTGTGTACCTCTACTGAAAGGAAGAACTACAGCTGGCAGCTGAATCAAGAACACAAGAGGATCAAGACCAAACTTTGCCAGAATTAGCAGGACTACTAGTCACATCTCTAACTATCCTTTCTTTCTGCTTAAGGCAGAACAGATTGGAGAGTTACACAAGAAAAAAAAGGCCCAGTAAATCTAGAACCTCTTAATGATTAGGACTTCAAAATGGACTTGGGAGTAAAACTAAAGATAAAACAATTTGTGCATTATGCTGTGCTGTGACAGAGAAAGCTCTGAACGAATTCAATTTTCTATGTAGTAATTACATAAAAGGACCACACAGTTGAGGTACACAAAATGTACTAGAAATGGAAACAGAACACTACTATCATACAGGTTTCACAGCAGATGAATATGCATCTGTTCCTGCAACGGAGAAATGTTTTTTCAGTCTAAAATTACAGAGGAAGGCATTAGACAAGGCAACACAATGTCTTAAGTCTTATAATATTAAATGCATAATGATGTAAGAATAGTATTAAAATCTAAGTGCTCTTGAAAATGTCAAGATTATTTTCTAAAGTTACTGATACACTTTTTTGTTGTTGATCTGAGTTTGACAGGTACAGAAGTACTTGAGATGTTATACCTATGGATCAAGATGGCAATAAATGTTGTTTCAGAGACAAAGTGCAACAGAAGTGTTTGTTAAAAAGTATTCATCACCTACCTTTGGATTCATTATTCCCTCTTGCTTAAAGCAGCTATAAAAGATATCCATGGAAAACACTTCACTCCACAGGTATCCATAGTACTGACCATCATAACCACCTGCCAGATGTCCAAAAGTAGCTGGCATGTTTGTTCCTTGAAAAGTAGATTAATATTAAGTTATTTTAATAAAATACAGTACTTCAAGAATAAATTAATAAGGAATTTATATCAACTACTTTGAGACTTTTAACATAAAGGGTCTGAGTATGCCTCAAAGTATTGGACAAACTCGGTGACTACAAAGGAAACTCAGTTTCCCATTTTAGGCTACTTGTACCTCCAGCACAGATGTGACAGAACATCTAAAGTGGAATTCACATCATGTCACATTAAAACATATCCTGAAAAAGGTTAATTTTTATATTTACCTTAATTTTCCTTCAGAAAAGATCATTAAGATAATCCTAAGTTTCAAAATAACTATTTCGGCTTCATAAAGTAGACTATTTCATAAACAACTCTAGGGGGTTTGTATGCCAAGCATTACTGGGAAGGAATGGCATGTTAAATTGAACCATTTGGACATGCTGTATAAAAGTTTCATACTGACATACCTGGAGTGGCAGGAATTCCTAGAATCTCCATACAGTATTTAGCATATTCATCCGCTGGGTCAACAGATAGCTTTGTATGCAGTGCCTGGTCAACTTTGCTCAAAACAATCTGACGGAGGGTTAAAAGGCCTAAGTGGGTAAGAACATTTAATTAACCAGCATCAAAGTAGCTGGAGTTTCATTTGCATCTTTCCTTCAAGGATCTCAACATGCACATTAAATGATTAGAATTTTAACCATGGAACAAACTTGGAGTTGCATCGTTCCCATCTGAATTGCTCCAGTTACAGAGGCAGAGTTTTAATAAAGGAATTGTCACTATAAGTTCCATCTTTTCAAATGTTATTTTCCTCACAGATCAAAAATAAAACAAAGCAGATATTTTTAAAGCAAATCTTAATATTTAATGTTTTCAGCTGCCGTTGCTTCCCATATACCATTTCACTCAGAGCTTGAACAGCTGGTAGTTAGTATATCTACCCTAAGACACTTCAAAGAACACCAAGAACTGCTGCAGCAGCTGCTGTAAGCTTTTTTTAAGAAGCTACAAAATATGAACCTTTACCCAGACAAAATGCTTTGCAGCTACAGAGTCTGTACAAGCCACAGGGACAAAGACTTCTTGTTCAGGATAGGAAAGCAGTATGAAATAAACAGCAGTGTCTAATGACAAATGAGAAGCCCTGATTAGAGGAACAAAGGGGTGGGAGTTATAGAATAACAATGATATGATAGGCAATGACATGAGATTACAATCTCAGTTTGGAGATACATGTAAGGTAGTACAAGATGGGGCAGGAGAAGAAAATTAGAACCTTAGTTTGGGAAGGCAGTATATCTCCTGGGAAAGTAGAGAATATGGACTTAAGGTTCTGGATTTAGAAGTTAAGAGGCTGTTTGAACAATGCAGGGCTACAACACTTCTGTCTGGGATATGTTCATTAAATCTGAAAACAACTTCCACGTCTGTCAAGCGTCATGTGCAAATCAAATGTAGACAATGCCTACAGAAAATCTGACAGTGTATTCACTGTATGCACAGTGCCTGCTCTGGACTACAAATAAAATAAAACCCAAAAACCCCACAACAGACCCCTCCTCTTCCCCCATCACACACACCACCAAACCTCCCCCCCTTCCCCAGTTTTAAATGAACAATGCTGGTAGGTAAAAAAGTCACATGAAGAGGAAAAGTATTTTAGTACTGTGGGTGGCCTGGAAAATCAGAGCTGCTACTGTCCGGGCAAACAGTGGTACTATCATCATAGCCTTTATTAATGGGGGTACCCAAAGAAATAAACCTAGAAAGACAATGATAAGTGTACACACAGAAGAAACTGAATGGGCTTTCTGTGTTCATCAGTTTTTTAAATAATGTATTTTTGTACATATACTGTGGGGAGAAAAGGCAGAGAGATACCTGAATTAGCCAGTCTAGAGGCAGCAAGTTTCTCAAGGAGAGTGTCTCCAACATGGGTTTCATCTTTATAATGTCTTGACATTTGCTGTAGTGGCTCTTTCTGCCACACCCAGTTTTCAAACATTTGTGAAGGTACCTCTACAAAATCTGTTTCCACGTTAGTTCCACTAAACCTAGCAAAATCAGTCTAAAAGAAAAAGCCATTGAATTAAATGACAATAGAAGCCATGATTTCTAGCAGAATACAAATTTTCATATGTCAAAATTTCAGTTTTAATTGCAGCAAAAGGAATCATTTGAATAGACCAATAATAATAGTTTAAAAATTAAATTTAAAGAAAGGAGGAAAAAGAAAAAAATCAAGACATAAGACTATTACCAAGAATAAACTAGATTTCTCAGTGGTTATTTACTGCATTATCGACTGGTATGGAGCAGTACTTCCATTTTCTTAACATTACTGATTTTTATCTTTTAGGTTATGACAGCAACACAAATGTCAAACAGCCACTGTCAAACAGCACTCCCAGGTCCTCTTCCCCTGAGCAGCTTTCCAGCTGCTCCTCCCACAGCCTGGAGTGCTGCCTGGGGTTGTTGTGATCCAAGTGCAGGACCCAGCATTTGACCTTGTTGAGCCCCATACCATTGTGCAGATCTGTAGAGACTTCCCACCATCACTCCACCCTTGTCTTGTAATAGGTCTACCTCCTCTTGCCAGACCAATTTTATGGGTTTTTTTTCCCTTCTCATCAACATACTAACAAAACAGATATCCTCATTTAACCATACACATTATCCATGCATCACACTAACAAAAGCCACTAGACATTTGGGTCAAGTCACTTCAAGAGCTCTCCTAACAGCATAAACAAATCCCCTCCCTGCCCTGATCTCACTTTCCAGCAGTATCTCTCTCTTTTTCCAGTGTCTTACACAGACTATCAGATCTTTACCAGCAGCTCACAGATTCCCTCCCATACGCAGCATTTAAATGTCAAGTCTTAACATGCTTAAACAAATAATCACATGAAACAAGACAGCGTTTTGTACACACAGACTCCAAAGACAGGATGTTCTTATGTGGGATTAGCAAGTCCGCACACATGCAAATAACAATTCACATACAACACAGCAGCACTAAGCATGGTAGCTATGCACACAAAAACCACCAGAGCAGTGTGAGAGACAACTGGAAAGGAGGCCTCCCTGACATGTGTGCAATTCCATAGCAACTAAAACACATATGGAGTAGAATTGTTGGCTTGAGCTGCCCCAGCTGGACTCCACAACAACCAGGCACATTCTCATTGGTTATGCTGCAGTCAGTTTTGTACAGTTTCATACCAATGCTGAATGTGTTTCATTTATAAACACCTTCTATACAGCCTAGGTTTTATTGCTCAATTTGTGGTATGAGAAACACCTAACATAGGGTGAAGATGATATATTTTTCCTTTCAACATGATTCAAAAGTATCTAAGCAAGTCTAGTTTCTTATTAACTCCAGATTTAATATATGGATTTGTGTGACTATTTCTTTATTCTGCAGTCTCAATCTATAGGATAATGGTCAAGAATGTAATGTGGGTCATACTTCTTTGATTTTATTATTTGGTACTTGTTTATACAGAAGATGAATGAAGTGCTACACAAAGTCTGGATTTGTAGACAATTATGTGGATTTTTTGGTGAGTGAATACTGACATCTCTCTCTGTAATATAAAATTTTCATTAGACTAATAATAAATTTATCATCTGGCAGAATTAATTTTAGATATAAGTAAAAATGAAACCAGAAATATTACAACTTTACTGGCATCTTGATGCAAAATCTGAAACTAACTTCAGTTCTGTCTGGTCACTGTGAGAAACCTATCCTATCAGATAGCAGAGCAGAAAATACAATGGCTCAGGTATTTATGCTTTTGATATCAAGAGTGACAGCACTCAAGAGTACTAAATGCCAAAATGCTGGAGGTCATCTGGATTTAGAAATAATTTTCATTCATAGGTACAGGACCCTTTTTTACTTTTAATATCCAGAAGTGCAACTTGATGTAATAAAAAGCCCTCTGACAGAAACCATGAGAGAGCGCCTTCCTCACCTCATACATCTACCTGTGACGACTGAATAGATGCCTGCATGATGCAAATGCAAAAGTATATGTCTGTATGAAAATGTTTTTCATAAGGAGGTGTATTTATTGCTTCAGTTTTAAATAAAAATTAAAACAAAAACCCAACCTGACACTGTAAAAAATAACCAAAACATCACTAACCTGTGCACATATCTGATGCATTACGTGACCAAATTCATGGAAGTAAGTCTTTACTTCATCATGTCGCAGTAATGATGGACGATCCAATGCTGGTTTTGTGAAGTTGGTTACCAGAGCAGCAACAGACATCAATCTGCTGCCATCAGAAAGGAGACAGCCAGGCTGTAGACCAAAGCATGCTGCATGCCCGTACTTTCCCTCTCTGTATAAGAAAATAAACCAGATACTATCTTCAAACCTGCTCACCAGAATGGCGAAGCCTGTTCAAGAACAGGGACAATCAGTCAGTGTCTTTACACTCAGCTTTACACAGAAAAATTACATCTTTTCATGACTTCTAGAGACTCAGAGTGAGTCTCTTAAGAGCATAAGTGGAAAAGTGCCCTCTGTAATCTTGTACTTAGATCACAACAATTTAAGATTCTCAGCAGCATTTACATGAATCTGATTTTTACTATAATACTGGAAGTATACATACTTTAGATGTCCATTCTGTTTTAAACTGCTACTGTAACAGCAAGGACTAGGCTGTATTCTCTGAAGCAGTATTTTTTATTTTATTACAGGAGACAAAAGAATACAGTACATTGCATTTTTTATGGTGATCCAAGAGTTTAGAGAAAACTTATTCTGAAAATTTTGCCCTAAACTACCCAGTTAATACTCAGGCTAAGTCAGAGAAGTCTTACTGACACATAGCTTCAGCAATTCACATGACACACATAAAGATGGAAGCAGGCAAACAGGTGAAGGAGATAGGTACATTATCCTGAAAAGAATAATTTATGTACTATTGTACTGACTAACCTAATTTTCTTAGGCCAGAAAAGCCTTAAATCAACTTATATTAAAAAAAGAATATCAGTCAATTTATAAATTGCTAAATACTAATTTAAGAAAACCTACACCAAAGCAAACAAAAACCCAGTGACAGTCAAAAAGGAGTAGTTCAGAATAAATTCTGTCAAATCAGTCTAGTTTCACAATCTCTGACAAAACAGAGATGATGCTGTAGATAGCTACAAAGAGAGTTGGAGAGGTAGATATCAATATGTAACTCTCAATGTCTGCTCAACAGGAATCTATTCTTGCTACTATCTATTTGATATTTTCTCTACCAGTCTGGTCAACAGGTTAAAAGTACACATATAGACCAACAGAGTGTAAAAAGGAACTAAGAGAAACTAGGAACACTCAGCAGACAGAAATATAATTGTTCAATAAAAATTAAAATTAAAACAGTATTAAGGTAGAAAGGAGAAAATTCATAGATTATGGATATTATGGATAACTGACTTAATAGCAGTACTACAAAAGAAAAATTTACAAAGTAGCAATGCTTCATAAACTGAATAGAAGCAAGAACTAAGACAAAATCCATTTTAAACACATAAGTAAAACACTAAATCATAATTACCTGGGGTAAAGATCCAAATAGAACTGCCCTAACATTTCTCCTGTTGATTTATCCTTTACTGCATAAAGAGTAACACTGTCATGCCAAACATGAGCACTTTCTACTTGCTCAAATACAAGTCCCAGCAGCTCCTGGTAAATATTCAGTAAGCCTTCTGTAACAGCCTCAATTGGGAAGTATTCCTTCAGTTTTTCTTGATCTATAGAGTACTTCAGCTCTTCAGTTTTGTTCATATAATAATGAAGATCCCATGCATTGATTCTTCCATCATAATCAAAGTTTCTTTCTTGACACTCCTTTTTCTTCAAATCTAGAATGAATTCTCTTTCTTCTTCAACCAGTGGCTTTAGCTTCTTACTCAAATCATCTGAAAAAAAGATTGCCTTGGAGTCAACTTATACGTTACTATAATGTGTATTCCTATAAAATACACTCAAAACTTTAAGCACATGCTCCAGAAGTGGAAGCTAGAGTGTTCCATTCATTGACCAATTGTCCATTTTCTTGTCCTAGTGAGCCTTAACTGCAGGCATGCTGTGATACAGTACTCCAGTAGCACTACAGTACTAGGGTAGACCTAGGAGAGCTGTGAAGGGGGGTGAATTTAGATTTTTTCAAAGATATCAAAATGGAAAACAACACTAGACACTTTTGCTTGAATCCTTTGATTTTATCTCATGTAATTTCAATTTTCTTAATATATTTCTGCAGCAGCAGCAAAAGACTACAGCTACCATTAGTACCTGCAAGGGCATCACAAAATTCAATACTTCTAGCTAAAGCCTGATAAAAGAACAAGAGACTCAAGAGTTCTTGCTTCCAGACTAGCAAAGTCACTGGGTATTAATCTCTATGGTACAAATACTTTCCAATATACTTTTCTTGGACAAGAAAGCGCCACAGCACTATGAAACACACACATTGAATATAAAATATTTAACCTTACTGAAACTTCCATAAAGTACCTACTGTACTTATTCTCATAAGTATTTCTGGACTATCAGACCCTTTCTTCTTTCTTAAGAATTCAGATGAATGTTCATTGTTGATATCTAGAGTGTAAAATCGAGGAATTGCCACTCCTCTTTCTAGGTAGTCTGTAAGGCACTATATACAATTATGTTACATTTACATGACTGAAATACTTGTATTTCATGACTGAAGCTTGTATTGTGCTAAATTCAGAATGTGTCATAGGAGAGAATGCTCTTCTCCTTAGCTGTAAGATCAGCTTATGAACATTGATTCAAAACATGAACAGATAGGAACAAAGTAGAGCAAAATATACTGTCATGCTTGTAGCTGAAGATATATCAAAAGAACTAAATTAAAGGTGACAATTAATTTGATGAACATTCTCCCTCTGTGAGAATTACCACGAAGCATGATATTTATGAAAAGTATATAATCTCATATGCTTTTACTTTGTAAAGCAACTGCTAGATTTTGAGTGTCAGCTTCAAAACAAATGAAAAAACACAGTATTACAATAACATAGTGGATATAAAAAGAGTCCAAATTACTTTATGCACACCTAAAAAACACCAGGTAATTCAAACATTTAATAACGCAAAATTACCTGTGAGTTGTCAAATATATGGATAATTGGTATGGCCAAATATGCATCTGATCTGAAGGAGCATTTCAGAAGAAATGCAACAGAATTACAGGTGAAAGAAGAAGAGCATTTGAACCTCTTTATTGATGCATAAACCCACTACCAATAAACATACCTTATTTTTGTACTAAATTATTTGCGGGGGGGTTATTTGTATGATACATCAATATACACTCCTAAGTGGTGTTAGGACACGTTAATAAAGGAACACATGCTACTCTGTGGAACTACGTAATTCCAGAAAGTAGAGACTAATTCCATGCAAAAGAGTGGGCCCACTAACGTCAAAAGCATGACTATAAATTCATAAACTGCTCAGTTCAAAATTTTCAAGATACCTCTGTTATCAGATCAAATTCCATTACAAGGCTTTTGAATTCCAGATTTAATCCATCATTCCAGATTTAATTTTTTAATTCAGAAAAAATTGTGTAAAAAACGGGAAAGAAAAGCTGCAACTCTGATGCAGCCTCTTGAACTGATAAAATTGGCTAGGCTGCACATATTACTTTGGTTCTAAATTAGGATAACTGCATTTTGGGGCAGAGAAAGACACAACCACTTGTTTATATCGGCTGTCACAAAGCAGCGATTTTCAGATTTTCGCCTTGTGCTTCCCTGATTTGGAGCAACTGCATTTGTACAGCTACAGTCTAAAAAATACATGTGCCAGAACGGAGGCAGCAGAGAGTTCCTTTTCTAGCTACACTTGATGGATACTGTGACCCAGTTATGTATTTAAAATAATCTTGGCTGAGTAATCATGTTGCCACATCAAATATAAAAGTATTGCTTATAAATGAGAACAAACCTAAGAAGGTTGTTACATTATCTGTGCTCTTTGCAGTGTTTACCTCCAGGACAAAGTTGGCATGTGTATTATAACCAAGAAGCTCTGCTACTTTTGCCCGTAGTGGAAGCAATTGCTGAAGAATTTTTGTGTTCTCCTAAAAAAGAAAGTAGGGAAATTTGTAAAGTGAAACCAGAAAACACATGTTATCAAAACATCTGAATAATATCTGAAATCCTATGAAACAGTAGATATTTTAAATGAAACACTTTAAGATATAAATATAAAAACCCCTAAATTTACCTAGATTATTGGAATTTTTTTTCACAGCATTTGATTGCAGATAGCTAGTATTCTAGTTGATCACAGTCATTACGCTCCCTATTATAATTTATCTGTTTTAATTAATCAAAATGGATACCATTTCCTTTTAGGATACTAACAGTTGTGAAGAATTTAGTTTCTTTATCAATCATTTAACTGTGAAAGGTAACAGTGAAACTGCTGACATCAGGCTTAATTGCTTGTTAGCGATGAAGACAGCTTGTAAATGTATTGTGCCAACATTCAAAACTTGTTTGCAAATTTCCCTCTTTTGCCACTCTGACAATAGCAGTCAGAGAAAGATCTGAAGCCCTGACCTAAATGTGCTGCAGGATCCTTGAGAAGCTGAAAACATAACTGTGTAAACCTCTAGTTCTGGAAAAGTGAGATTTCTTCGGGGGGGGTGGGTGGGGGGTGGAAATCAAACCCTAGATTTGAAGATTGTTCCAAAGTTTAACATCAAGTACCCTTATGTGTGTTGACTGGCAAAGTGTTCAGTTCTCGGTGCCATTTTATCTTATCTTGTATTCATCACATTTCCCAGTACTTCAAGCACAAAAATTCAACTCTGTCACTGTTCTCTAATAAATGGTTGGTACAACTGTCTGAATGACATATTCTCTATTCTTTTCAATTTTTGTACCTACCTAGTTGTGTGGTCTCATCACTATAAATTAACTGTGAAATTATTTCTTCTTTTTATAAAGCAGGTTTCCAAATATTTTTCAGATCATTAAATACATCTTTTATAAAAAACAGGAGGGCTTTTTACATCTAATTAAAATTCTCATCAATATGCAATGTGTTTATTTCACATTTAATCACCTGTATTTTATAATTAAAACCTGTGCTTAAATAACCCCTCTCATTCTGAAAAATCCCAAAATACTATAGAAGCCACAATCAGACATCCTTTTCTGTGAGCAAAGTGTCAGTAAACATGTGCAGAACACTACAAGGAAATCTGACAAAAGATCAAAATCCTATTTCTATTAACAGCACCACTTGAAGATTAAGATATGTACACACACAGAGGCAGATCGTCAACTTCTAAGGTCTCTGGACATCAGAATAAACTGAAGCAAGGAACTTTTAGAGATCATACTGATAAGTTTTAATAATAGCAGAACTCAAATATAACATTCTAATGTCTAGCTCCATTTTTCAATTCTGTCATTGCACTGTAGAACAACCAATACACAACATACCTCTTTGCATCTCGAGTTAAAGGCAAATTCCATTTTTCTCCTTGTTTCTGAAATGCAGCACTTCTTCATAACAGGAAAATAGTGGGGATATTTCAAGGTTACTTTATATTTGTCTTCCTCAGTCTTCTCTAAACTATTAATAAAGTCATCAGGAAGGCCATCTATGGAACAGAATTTAATAAACAGTAATTACCAGAACTACCTACTCCCCTGTTTTTTTAAGACTGTTGCATTTGTTTTGGTGCAATCTATCTTGAAATTAGAAATCTCCACAGAAAAAACACCTTTTTGCAATTTGTTATAGTTTTACACTTTTTTCTTTTTGCCTAGTGAATTTTCCCATACCAACAGCCTCTTGCTACTAAGCTAAGACTTCGTTGTTAGGCTAGCCCGGGCCTTAACGACTGCCCTATTGAAATGCTAAATAACATCGGCACACGAGCTAAATTGTGTAAGGGAAACTCCATTCCCTCGGTAGCCACTGTTGGAGAGGGAAGGGAGGCCTCAGTTGTTTTTTTTTCTCTGGGGATGGCTCTTTAGTTCTTCCCTGACTCAGGGAGTGGTGTGGAGGGGGAGGTTCATTTTTCAGCCGGGTCACTGGCTTCTTCTGGCCCCGAGGGAGGTCCCGGTTCGCCTCCGATTCCTCACGTCCTGCTCTGCCTGGACTTGCCTCGGATTCATCGGAACGCGGATACCACCTGCTAAGAACCGCTGAGGGGAAAGGCGGCCTTTCCTCTCCTCCTTTCCCGTGTCGGCGGCGTTTGCACCCATTGACGAGGAAAGGTATCCCAGCCAGAGCCAGCCTTTGACAGCACGAGCCCACAGGAGGAACCACCCCTTCCCCTTCTCCCTTTCCCCTTCGGCGGTGGCCCGCCTCGCCGGGACGTGCCTGGGACCGACCCGGTTGCCTCCCGCGCCTCGGGCCCTGCAGAGGGGGCGGCACCAGCGCCCGACAGCGCCGCCTGCCGGCCATGGCGGAGCCACTGCGGCCCCCCTTCCTCCGGGTCCAGCAGCGCCCCCTGCTGGCCGCGACACACCGCGGCCCCGCCTCCCGAGGCGCCAGCGCCCCCTGCTGGCCGTGGTTATAACTGCGCCGAAAGGCGGAAAGCACAATTGTTTTCTGTGGAAGTCTGGTTATGGAATTGTTGCTTGTTCTTTTATGTTACACACATATATTTAGTAAAGAGCTGCTATTTTCTTTTCCACACCTTTTCAACTGGAGCCTTTTAATTTTGAAGTTATAATTACTGTCAGAGGGAGGAGTTTGGTTTTTCTCCTATCCCACCCTCTGTAAGCAAACATTTCTGTCTCATTAAACTGAGACACAATTATTTGCTAAAACTTTTTCAAATTCCACCAAGCAAAATAAAATTTGGAAACACTTGCAAGCAAAAGAGAAATACATGTAAGGCTACCAGAATGACATTAAAGAATCTCTAATGTTATTAGAGCATATTTTATGCCATGCCTTTCAAATAATGAATCCCCAAATTTTCTATCACATGCAATTTCTAGCTTAGTTTTTAAATTACTGAATTAGTTAAAATATATTGCAGGGCAAAAAAGCTTTTCCAATACTTACAATGAATGTAATACACAAGGAATTGCTTGGTGGTGGAGAACTGAGAAAAGGAGCAGAGTTAAGTTATGCTAAAAAAGGAGGACCAATGTGATGCAAGGCAAACACTTCAGGAAGCAAAAATCTACGCAGACATTATGAAAACCTGCAAAGGATAACACTAAACTGACTCTGGGGAAGAACTAAAAAGGAAACAGAGAAGACTGGAAAACAGTCAGAATTTCCCTTGATCTTACCATCACTCATGGGGCCAAAACCAGCTACTCAAGTAAAACTGGAAGTTGAAGAAAGCAAGCATACCACTTACCAAGTTCTTCCCTAGGAAATACAAGAAATGTGTTGTCCTCATTCAGGTTTTTGTTAAAGTCTATACACAGCTCATTCAATTTTTTCTTCATTGTCTTTATTTCCTGCATTGAGTATAAACTGAACTTAGTGGAAAAACAAAAATCAAAGTTGGTAATTTCTATCCTCCACATGAATAGTATTTCACTTTTTCCAGCTAGGCTTTCTACTAGCTGACAGTAAACACCAGCAGTGAGCAAATAACACACTGCAGGTAGCATCATACTTCACTCTCCCATCAGCCTCCCTTTTATGTTTCTTTTGACCCCTAGCAATATTGTTGTCAAGGAACCCTGCGTCAGGGCTATCACTCCAACATTCCAAACTCAACCCAGAGGGGACTGGACAGATTAAACACATTCACTGAATAGTTTATGTTCTAACATTCAATTATTTTCTTTTATTTGAAAAGCTAAATTACAATTTTAAGTGTAAAAATACCCACTAAAATAATTGAGAATGAAGGGAGTAAAAATGCATTCAACCTACTGAAAAACACTGCTTTGGAACTGTACAGGTATGGTATGACAAAAAGAACAGAATACCCCCACAGCATAAGACCACTCCAAAACCATTTTTAAAATCTGGATATTCATCCATCTGAAACATTTTCTAATACATCTCATAACAAATTTCTATACCTTACAGTCAAGTTCAAATAAACACAGTAGTTACCAGTAGGAGAATGCATACACAAAAAAAAAACCAACAACAAACCCAACACCTTGCCAAAGACTCCCATCAGCCAATTTTTTTCACCTAAATATAATTCAACTATTGTCTCCTAAGGAATTTCAAAATATCTTTAGAGGCATCAGTTACCCTTGAACTATGAAAATACACACAAAACTGTTCTCACAAACTGAAAGATGTGGATGAAGAATGATTATTTTCTACAAAGGGTAAAGTCTACTCAAGAGTCAGAAATAAAGGTTGTTACATATATATGACTCAGAATTTAAAGAGAATTATGTTGGCATCTGTAGAAGGCTAGAAGATAAGGGGCCTATGGATATGCTTGAAATACCAAGATAGCCATGGAGCCAACCAAGGACTGTTAGTAAGAACAGCCAAGGACTTTTGTTAAAAAGAACAAGATGTGGCTGGAGAAGGGGCCATATAGAATAAGGGCAGCCCTGTTCTGGAACAAACATCCTTGTTCTATCTCCTGAAGATAAGCACAACACAGTACAGCAGAGGCACAGAAACGAGGTGGAGAAGTGGGCATGGACTGTAGCAGGAGGGGGATCAAGACCACCACAGACCTCCAATGCTTTACCCATTTCCAAAAAGGTCTAGAAGAATGCACTATGCATGACGACTAATTCATTCAGAAAGTGCAAAATTTACCTCTAGGGCACGGGAAACTTATCTGTATAAAGTACACCCACCAAGCTCCAGGACTCTGGTCACCTTGTCAGCTGAATTGATGCTGGAGCCCAGATTAGTGATCTCAGTCTCCCTTTCTCCTTTCTCTTTCCCCTTCTTTAATTCATCTCTCTCTCTGTCTTTTCCCTTTCACTCTACCCCTTTATCCAAAACCCACTTATACTTATGCCATATACTTATACTAGGGGGTCAGGGACTAATACCAATTTCCAAGACAAGTCTGTAATTTACTAATAAAACTTTGTAAGCTTTTGTGGACTCTCTGATTTTGTCATTCCTTTCAACCACAAGCATCTACAAGTCTTGGGTGCTCCCTTCTCCTTGAGGATGGGATGCCACAGCATCTCAGATGCTGTCAATTTTACTTCATGATTTTTGGAAGTGACAATTGCTTTCATATGCATGAGTAAATCCTCTCTTAATGGAGCCAAAGTTCTCAGAGTCACTTGTTTCTTCCCTTTAACCTACTTCGATTTTTTTTTCAGGCAAAATGCTAAAATCCTGGATACATTTTACTACAGTGGTCAATAAATGAAATTAAAATAGCTGTGTCTTTGCAACAGTTATACATATTTCTGAAACGAAGTGCAGACTAACTTGTAACATTTTTTGAGAGGTCTCTTTGCTAGGAATCTTATTTAGGCATTCTCGTAATCAGAATATATAACAAAACTCTTCCAGCTAGGCTTCTTTTACTCTCAAAGGCTAAAATGTGATGCATACCACATCTATCCACCGAGTACTACGAGTGTCTAGCAGATTAAAAACCTTAACATTTAAACACCTTAAAGTGACTGAAGTTTAAAGGATGGATCTGGAACTAAGACCGGTTAAGATCAGAGCAGTAATTCAGCAGGTCCAAAAGCATGAAGTTCAAATACACGCTTAGTACAGCTAATCAATCATAATTCAACAGTTTATAACCTTTGCTTTATAAACAAATGGTCCATATTTACATTCAGTACTTCTTTAGGAAGATGGAGTCCATTTCTTTTGCCCACTTGGACTGATTTCTCTAGATATCGCTTTGTTTCAGGCTTTACATTTTCAAGATTGCAGTTTTGCTGAAATGACAGAACAGAATACTTGAATTAACACAGTGTAAGAAACATAACAAACATTAGAAGGGTCTGAACAGAGTTGTTCTTTAGAGCACTGTCATAGTAAAAAAGGACTTCCCCAAAACAGTTACCTTACACAATAGTATTCTTATATCGATGCAGAATGATTTTAAAGTATTTTTTTTTTACCAAGTAACTCAGCACTTTTACATGCTGTCATCATGGCAAGTCCTTTTAGTTTTCACTCCAGTGCACTTCAGCTTTTTCTGTAGAGATAGCATTCTTATACACATTTCAAGAAAATCAGTGGTATAAGGTAATACTGTATGTTATAAGTCAGAGGGATTGAAAAAACTCCCAAACGATTAGATGTGTCACTGAAGATTATCAGATGGCATAATATTTGAGCATATACATCTTTTTTTTTCAGAAACAATCAAGCAGTGACAACAAATAAACAGAATCACAGAATATTCTGAGCTGGACAGGACCCACAAGGATCATCGAGTCCAAATCTTAAGTGAATGGCCCGTGTAGAAATCAAACCGGCAACCTTGGTGGTGTTAGCACCATGTTTTAACCAACTGAGCTAAAAACAATATTTCTATGTTATGCCATTACAAAGACTCTTGAATCACCATTTCCTAAAGCATCAACAATAAGAGACAGGACAGTGTTTGCAACAGAACATGGATCGGTCCTGTGCAAGTCTTCCTTCAAATTGAATACAGCATAACTGTTTAACTCAGAAACTTGCTATTTTGTCCTAAATTGAAAATAATGGTGTACACCTTTTAATTTTATCTTCTCTCATCTAAAAGGAACATTAAAAAAGTTATTAACTTGGTAGAAAGGACATATTGTATTTAAGTTCACATTCAAATATGAAGCTGTTGGAATTAGCTATGACTTGTCTTAATAACCTCTCATCAGTTTACCTACGCACAAATTAATGCTTGACTAGCATCTCTGAAAAGCACAGATGTTGAAACATGCAAATTTTATGAATGAGTCACACAATTGTGTAGAGCTGTCAACTAATGACTTGTCAGTACAGAATACCTCACTTCCTTAAACAGAAAAATTAAGAGACAGGAACGTAGTTGTATTCCAAGAAAAAAAAAAAGTATAAATAAGAACTCTGAAACAGATTTTTCTGTCATTTAAAAATAATCTACACAACAACACAAACAATATCTACTCCTGCCAGTGCCCTGCACATGAGATTAGAAAATTTGTGGAAATTGGTTTCTAGAACCATGAAAGAGTTTAGAATAGTTTAGTTTTGTTTTTACTCTGCGCCTAAAACTCTAATGCATATACCAGTAGTCTACATGCAAGAATTTATAAGTCTGGTAAAACAAAATGACAGTTATTTCACTTTGTGATAAACTAACTTTTCTAAAGCAATAGGTAGACTTAACTTAGTTTACTTACTGTCACAGGAATGATGAATATTATGTGTTTACAGGTAATTTTTATAAGAATCCATATTTTAACGGAAAGATGATCCTACTACTATAGGTCACCACACAGCTAAAGTCAACAACGATTCAACCAGGTGATTGCATGGAGTACCCCTGACTAGACCTATGATTTTTTTGCACCTAGCACCTAGATATCACTTCTGTTTGTTTGTTTTTAAATAACAGGATGTAAATGGTAGAAATCTCTTTTTGGGAGGAAAGTAACTGAAGAAAATCATGACCTCTGTCCTCTCCAACTCAAACCTCATATCTCCATTCTCATTCCCAGTAAATGTGTAAGACAAGTAACACAGAGTATTTCATAACACAAAGATAAAAAAAATGCTATTGCCCTACTCCCTCCAACACTTGAGTCTCCTGTTGTGTTTCTGGCAAATAACACTCTATGAAATTCTGCTGCTTCACGAAGATCTTCATGCTACCAAAAGCACTACATCTAGGAGTGTCAATGCTATAATACTCAGTACAAAAATAATTGTAACAATCAAAATTAAATTCACATATTGTTTTTCCACTGGACAACCCACAATTCCAGGGTTCTTTTTTCTGACCTAAGACTAAGTGTGATGGAAATAGCACAACTTCAAAATGACAGAGGTGAAAAATGCAGACACTGCCACTATATTAACATTTATATTGGGCTAACTGTGCTGCAAGACTCAAAAACAGAAAGGCTGAGGAAAAAAAATTAAGTATGCTAAACTCTACAAAAAGCCAATGCTTTTATTACAGTAACAGTTTAGGACAGAGGATTGTGAAAAGTCTCACTGAGCTATTTAGGCACTATGCTGGATCTTCCAGTCCTTCCATTGGGCCTATGGAACTGTCACGCTCCTGAAAATATCCAGGGCCCAAATCCAGGGCCCAAAAGATTTTAGGTGGAAGAAGGGAATTCACAAACACTAATTTTAAGCCCTTAAAGCCAGTGAATACTGGCTCCTCCTAAAGCTAAAACAGATGAAGATTCTTTTGGGCAAAAAGAGAAGAAAAACTAAGTGTTCTTCATCTTTCTCTTGATGACTATACATTTCTCCATACACTTCAACACTAATTAGGCTTTGTGAAGTTTATCTGCATCACAGATATGCTTAAGGTAAGAATGATACACATTCAAAAAGACGTCTCAGGTCTCTATGGATAAGCAAGCCTATAAACCTTCACAAGCACAGGAACCAAGGGTGTTCTGGGGCCATCTCTGAACTTTGGTCTGATCAAGATGGTCTTCATCACCTGGATTTTCTCTGATGAACAATTTCCGCAATAGAAATACTAATTTTGAGTATACTGCACACATGAAAGGTTGGAACTCTCCAGAAGTTTTAGAATTGTCGTGTTTGATGATTTTATATACCATTTCATACTTCTTTTGGACAACCATGTTACATTTTTCCAGGAAGAAATCTTCAGGCAGAGTAAGAAACAAAACCTACCTGCAATTCCATGAACAAAGCCTGCAGCAGCTGTTTACAACAGGCTGTTTCCCGAGGGCATGTGGGTGGAGAAGACTGGCAACATTCTTAAGCATGCCTCTGCTAGTCAGCATGTGCAGATATCAGGAGTAATAAAATTTAAAATGATACTTTCACTACCAAATTCACTTTTACTCCAAGTTTCAAACCTCGTTTTCCAACGAATAAGATCTGAAGCATATTCAACAATATGATTTTATGCAGGAATTTTTTCCCTTAATGTGTCAGGAAAAGAAAGAGACTGCATTATTTTAATATTTTCTCAAATTAAATACAAAACCCTCAATCATTTTTCCTCGATCAATAGTTCTTAAATAAAGCATAATCTAAAAAGAATACTAAACAGTTGTTAGCTTGTAAAAGTTTAGCCCTCATTAAGGGGAGCAAAAACATTCAGGATATCACTGTGATCAAGCAGATTTACTAGTCTCCTAGTGGACTGTGTTACAAAGAAAAGGGAAGTGTGAGGGCCCTCATTCTCCTCATCTCATTTTAATCTGGCCACGGTGCAGGACTGAATTCATCTACCTGAACTATTAAATCCCCAGTGAGGCCATGAAAAACTTGATTTCATGAAAATGTTTTACTGCCTTATTTGAACTGATAAATTAATTTCAGCAGAAGTCTGAAGTCTGTTTTTCGAAGTTCTTTTTTCATGTGTTTTTTTTTATGTGTTCCTGGAGCCTGACTTTTTAACTAGGAGATTCTAACAGGAGAAGGCATTAGAAATTCAGCAAAAATTAACAAAAAATGTATCATTTGGAAATAGCAAGATTTCACCAGTCTGGCATTATTGGCAATTTCACAGTTGTGCTACGGCAAAACTGCTACTACTTTAACAGTTATTATGAAGCTGATATACGCTCAGAGGTTGCATCTCTGGAAAATTAATACTAAAACATGCTTGCACGCTGCAGTTAAGCCAAGAAAAATGTCTAAAAATACTGAATGGAGATTTAATCAGCAATTCTAAGTGTCATAAAGGCCAAATATTGTTGCAAAGGTAAATGACAGGAAAACACCAAATGAAAGAGTTAAAAAAATTTAAGGAAGTAGTAGTAGCAAGTAACAGTAATCAGTTTTCACTAACTACTGTCAGATATCCTTGTAAATTAAAAATAGATAGATTCGGAGATATCGCAGATCTGCCCTAAATGTACTTGCATATATTATACTGGATGTTGGGGAAAACCACAGCAAATAATAAATACATATCAAACCATTTAATTACTAGCCACAGAGCAGGGGAAGAAGAAAAAAATCAACATAAAGCACTATCTGCCAACACACAACTGAATGGGGCTATTATATACCTGTACAAACACATAAACAATACCCAGCTAGAGGAGAACATTTGAAAGGTTCTCTGGAAAACACAGCAAAAGAAGACAATGGTATTGGAAGGCACTTTAATAAGGCACTGCAAGCATTATTCTGGTTCTCAGTCAACACTGCAAAAAGCACAAACAACAACTCCAAGAAGCAGGGGCTCCAGTGTCTTATTAGCATTACGAGAAGGTTAAAAATTAGTGGGGTTTGAAAGGGAAGATTCACATGTAAACCATAGGAAAAAAATTATTTTAGTTTTCATATTTGATAGCTTCCTTGTATTACCCTTAAATCAGACATTTTTGGAAAATTATTACTAAATGTCACTAGATTTGAACAAAACCAAATATTCTTCCCATTAGAGCTACAAAATAATTAGTACAAATGAAGAATACAAGATACCTAAGGGTGCTGAATTAGAAGAGAAGCTAAACAGAAAAACAAAAGGGATAGAAACTAGTTCAACAGGAAAAGCGTTTTTTGACATAGTTTTATTTTGTGGTCAAAGCAACTGATGAGCAAAAGTATATAGTGTAACTGTCTATAATGAGCAGGTCAAAAGAGGTAATTTCAGAGGTCACTCCAAGTTATATGTTCTCATTAATCTTCATAACTTAAAACAACTTCTAAATTTAAAATTCTTAACTATTTCAATACAGTGTAAGTTTGGACACAAATTGAAAAACAGTATAAGCCAACGTAAATACAGTACTGTATTGCCTCTTCCTTCCCTCTTGGAATGAGTTCAGGGAGCTCAGCCAACAGAAAACAAAAAAATGCTTCTCCTGATAGGTTTCCTTCTGTTAGTTTAGCTTCCAGCTTAACCAGCTCATTGGAAGACTAAAGATAAAATGAAGAAAAGGATACAGAGACCTAGATATGGCCTGCAAAGAGTGGAAGCACCAAGGTAGATTGTTTTCTGTTGTAGAGCTGTGTCCCACTGGAAAGATTTGATTGGCATAGACAGAGAGGAAATACAGAGTGATTTTGAAAAGCACTGTGTATAAGAACAAATTTTAGATACATTTAGATACATAACAAGTTGTGCAGACATCACCATGATTTACCTGTAAATAAACAATCTTCTGAAACACATCTTCTCTCATGCTCATCTCCACATCGAAATTAGAAAGCTTTTTGTCAGCTTCTGTACTTGCTAAGCGTACCTCTTTGTCAGGTGAAATGTGCTGGGGAAAATCCAACATGCTTCTTTCCACTGTTTAAATAAGAAGCAATGAACACAGAAGGTTAGACATGCCTTAAGGATAAGGAACTTTCCCCCTTCTGACATTTACAGAAGACATAAGAAACAAATATCCAAAGCAACTTGATGCTTCAGATCAGGCTTGAAGCAAATAGTTATTACATATAAAGTAAAAACGAATAGGCAAAAGGACAAAACCACACACCATAGTATAGAGAAGCTATCTATTACCCAAGCCTAATTATCTCATTGTCTTCCACAAAATCAACTGAAAGGTGTATAAATATGATACAAATAGTTCATCTTCCAGAAGTCATGTAAGTGAAGACTGACATTGTTTCATAGCTGGCACAGATGCTTCCACGTTAGCACCTAAAGTCAAAAGCTCTGAATCTTTCAAACATGCCCATCTGTCCTGAAGTTATTTTTATATTGTTATGAGCTCAGTGTCAAATCCCCATGTACTGCACTCTTCTGTGTTTAAGGTAAACACAGAAGATACTATGTATTCTGAACTTTTAGAAATTAGAAGCTGAGTAATATTACTTTTATAGAATATACTTTTGAGATTACATAAATCCTTGCTTATTAAAGTATTATTACATCTTATAATGAGATTGAATAGAAATCCTGAAGTAGAAATCAATTCACTTAATTAAAAATCAGTTATAATGTCTCTACCATTTACCTCTCCAAAACTACATTTTAGAGTAACAACATTTTAGCAACACCATTTTAGCCTGATTTAAAGCTTTGTAATTTTATGTAATGTGCAGTTGTTTTATCAAGTCCTGAGATACTCTCAGCCCTTCAGAAATCTCTGGAATGCAAACATGGGCATATGGTTCTTCTTGAAGTCCATAGGAAACTTTCCCCTCCACATCCTGCCCTCATGCCAAAATGTTTAAAAATGATAAGGTGAGTTTAGGCAGTTTTCAACTGACTTGTAAGGCCTGTTGTCATCTCTGGTTTTTGGGATAATAATTTCCAATTACTAGGGCAGGCCTTTCATGTGGAAGGAACACACTGGCTTTAAATTCTAAGGTTCTAATGGAAGTCTTGCTGTGGTAATACTTATTATATGCCATGGGCTATTTCACAGTAAGTCATGATAATGTCACATATAGCTTTGAAGATTAGCATTAAAAACTGAAATGTGACCCATTACGGCAATAGCATGTAGTGAAAAAAGTATATTTTGGATCCACTCTTAGTGGCTACGCTGAGAAGCTGATAGCCATTATTTTCCACGTCAAACAAGTGTTTCCTTCTAATTTAATTTAAAGAAGAGAGTTTTACGCCTTGGTGAAGAGGCTTACAAAAATTATACCAAATACATTGGTACAATTAAAACTGAATCTGGCAGGAAGTTGTCTGAATGAAGATTACTCAGTCTTTCTGCCAGCATAAATTCCAGCCAGTTCACTGTATGTGCCTAAACTGCAATTTTAAGTATGTGAAAGCCAGACTAATATTACAGTACAATAATTTGAGCTGCAGGCTGATCTTGCTTGCTAGTCAAAGCTTTTCCTCCAAGCCAAGGCTGCTGTTTTCAGCACTTCTGTGGCTACTGCAGATTTTTTAGAGTATTCAAAAGAACTTGACATTTATTACACTCTCTGCTTTGTAAGTAATGCAGCCACCATCTGACAGGTTTTTCAAAACAAAGCCACTCAAGACAGGGTTCATATTTTTCCCACTCCTCTGACTGACAATTATTAACAAATTACCTCTATAACCTGTTTTGACCATCAAACTCCATCCATACACTGACATGTCTGGATAACTCAGTCAGAACAATCTAGATATGAGTGCATGATGAACCTCTCCCCAGATTCTACAAGGCCTTGCAAGCCATAATACAAAGGTATGCAAGTAAAACAGTCTTCTTTCAATAATGCATTCAAAAATTCCTTCATTCTCAACCATCACATTTTCTCCACTAGCGGTTTACCAACCTTTCCATTGCTCCATTTGACTCGCTTGTCTCAGATTCTGCAGTGTCTGACAAAAAGCACTGCTTACCAGGTTTAATGTATTACACATACCAAAGACACTGCACACTGTCCCCTGCACAGAGTTGGAAAAGAAATCAGGGGACCAATGCAGTTCTCTGCATGTGTCAAAGACATCAACAGCACAGTTTAGTCAATCCTTGTTTTATCTCTAGAATAAAGGAGTAGAACTTTGTAGCTGATCATGTTACATATTGCTGAGAGGTCCTGAAAGATCATTATGACCAGAGGACTCTTGACAGGCCTCTACACAATAACAGTAGGGATCAAAATTGTAAGCAATTACTATTTTTTCTCAATGTTTCTTTATGTGCAGATGGAATGCCCTGTAGAAAGAATCACAAAAAATATACACTAACCTGCGTATTCCACTTCTATGTCTGCCAAAGCCCGTACAGTATTTTCATGTGTTACTTCTTCAATATCAAGCATCCCGACTCTGTCATAGACATGCTTTGTCTTCCTGATAAGTTCTTCTGTTCGTGTTCTAATTTCCTCTGGTGACAGGTCCCATCTCAAAAGGTTTCGGCCTGATGCTATGTATGAAGAAGCCTTAAGCTGGCTAGTAATTTCTGTTCCTAATGTCATCCTCAACACACGCAGTGGCCCAATGGACCTAGAAGTATAAAATTGATCTTTGCATAGCAAGGTTCTAGTTCAAGAGATAGTGTACAGTAAACATTAAAAAACCCAGCATCAGCATATTTTTAAAAGCAAGAACAAAGTCCTTTTTAGAGCCATAGTTTGTCCAGTAAGCTGTTACTTTTATGAATTAAGTGTAATTTTAAATAAATCTGCCTTCTATCTTTACCATTTAGGGTATGACTAAGTGCAAACAGGGACAAAACCTTTGCTATTGACCAAACTATACAGATTACGCTACTACTAACCCTTCTAAGAAAAAGAGAATTGCAGTTACTGAAACTTCACAGATAGTACTTGTATTTTTGAAGTAAGGAATAAAACCCACATATTGATTTGCAGATGATGAACAAGAAGACTGCAAAGATGCACAACATAAGACATAAAACATATCACTTGATCATGTTCATTATGGCAAATAATTTTACATTTATACAGGATGTCTGCAACATAATCAACATGGAAAGAAAACTTCTAGTTGTTACTCACTTGCAAATGTATTCCTTTAATTGTTGTGGATTTTAAATAGATGGTTTCACTCTTTTGCCAGAAGAGGTATATATGTTTACTGCTTACTGGAATTTATGCACTATTAAACCTGATTATATAAATCAACTGTATTTCAGCTTTAGCTAGGAGAAAGATTTACATACGCAACCGATCTTAATGCGCTAGGCAATCAATGGCTTTGATAGTATTAAAAAAGTGACTTGCAGCAATGAACCCAAACATGTTAAGAAGAAACTGGTTTCAGAAATAAAAGCTTCTACCTTTCCACTGCAACAAACCAACACTCAACTTAGTTGTACAAAGGAGAAGGATATAGAATCAGGCAACTGACTGAAGTGGGGCTAACAGAAACCCACAGAGCCAACAAGGTGTCCACCCAGTGACTACATCAGTAGCTCAGTTATATAAGAAGTAGTTGCTGAGGAAGATAATAATTTGATTATAATTAAAAGACAGCCTGCATTCGAGTAAAACTTGCTGCAGTGCTTACTATCACAGGAAGATCACAAGAGCATCACATGAGAATCTCTGCCTGTCAGAGACTTACTGTCTTCCTATTTCAGCCACATAATTAAAAAAAAAAATCTTATGTTGTTATATAATATTGACAACTTAAAATTTTCAGCCATAACTAAAGAAACACACAGAGAGCTTCCTACAAAAAGAGATGCTCAATTAACACTGTTTTTACATTAAGTAACTTTTTCTCTTAATGCTAGCCACTGTATCTGTACTGATTTTATTGTGAAATCTGACTGGTATGTCCATAAGTGCATGAACAGGTTCTGGCATACAGTGCAGAGAGCAAGAAGGATAGGCAATTTTTGACTGAAGGAATAACAAAGCAGAAGACTGAAATGCCAATAAACTAAAAAGGGCTGCACACATGGCTTCTGTTTGAAGGGAAGACGTTTTGTTAAAAAAGGGAATTTCTGTAGAAATAGCTTAGACAAAATTATTTTTATGCAAGACAAAACCAAAAGACAACATTTCTATCTACACTTCAAGTTGAAATTTTATTTTCCTTATTCTTCAAATCCTTCCATAGCAATGTAAGCAAATTGCTTACTCTTCCTTTCTACTGGGAGAAAGAAACATCAATGTCCAGAAATACTGATGATTTCACTTAGAAAGTGAAGTCTGAACACAGAACATTTGTTCCACCTCTGTTCTTTCTCTCTGATACCAACTGACTTCTGTCATTAATGCCTTAGTTGCTTCTCCACTGGACTACTGACACTTGGAATCTCAGAAGTCTACAATGAAGCTGTTCTCATGAAAGCAAAAGGTTAAGTATTAGCATACTCAGAACGCATTAGTTTCCCATCTCCAAAACCCACTGAACTCTACCTTAAATCTACAAATCCATTAAAGAACACTACTTCATTAAGTCACAAACAGATTCCCACTGGACTGCCCTATGTCTAGTTTTTCACACATTGCTAGCACAGCTCTAGTACAGCCTCTTGGAAGCTGAAGGGGAACCTCCTCAAAAATAGTTCAAGGCTCTGAATTCTATCCCACACCACCCACCCCAAAGAACATCAGGAAAAATACACACTGTTCTGAATTAAGGTCAAAATAAAAGAGTTAAAGGAAAACAACAGCCTGAACAACACGAAAGTATGTTAAAGTGCAAGATATTAAACAGATGCTCTTTTTTAAAGGGAACCTACGGCTTTCTGTCATTCAGTATCTTCACCTAGATGCGTAGAAAACAGAGCCCTGTCGTCAATGACCAATTACATATTATCAAAACCAAACACTATAACAGGCACAGGACCGACGGATTACATTCATTGCAGCCTGTCCAACTAGATTCATTAATAATTAAAGTTGGACTGAGTTCATAAACTTGAATGCAGGGTCCCTAATTACTGCACAGCACTATTTTTAAATTTGACTTAAAATTGATTTTTTTAGTATATTGTCGCATTGAGACATACACATATAAATTTGACAGCTGTATAAATTGTCGCCATAAATCCCAACAAGTTGTTGTCTGCCTGTTGGAAACAAGAAAACACAGATCAACCCAGTTTTGAAATGCCAATACCTTGTCTCCTGCTGATAGGATGAAGCAGTCATTTATGTATATTATTTTTAATAATAATAATAGGCAGTACAAACTCAGAAAGACCTCCAAGTTTTTCTAACTGGCCAAATGACAATGGGCCTTCAAAAACTGTAATATAACATCTCATATAACACCAGTCACTACATGTCATTCTTCAAATAACCTTTTACACACATGTTGGTACTGGCTACCAGTCAATCAGATGTCCTTGTACTAAAGACCAAATTAACTGACATCAGATTAATGGAAACAGCGTGCAAGTAAATATATATGCACAGGTGAAATTTTGGCCATTTCTTTCACGGATTAGTATTTTGAATTATTTATCCATATAAAACTATAAAGAAATAAATTCCCAAAACTTCATGTACCACACTGCAATAAAATTGATTATTTACTAACTTTACCTTATTTGTTCAAGAAAGAAACAAATAAACAATGACAAGATTAAATTCTATAAATAGACTACAAAGAAACAAGAAAGAAGAATATAGCTATAGTAGTAGGATGTTCAAAAACGCTCTGCAGTTACATTTGTCATGTTATTAGAGAGAAAATACTAAATTGTATCACTGAGGGAATCTTTAACTTCCCAGATATAAACTGGAAAATAAATTCTATTAATAATGGTAGGAACCAGATGGTTTTCTTCAAATACTGAATGAAGAGGACGGAATTATTATTTTAGGCTTGCTTTTGGTAAACAGCAGTAACATTAGGGAAGAGACAACTACTGCTTAGACTGAGCAATCAGAAGTTGATTCATTTTAAATTAGATGGAAGGATGTGTGCCTTGCATTGACTGCTGCTAATGCCTGAACTGTAAAATTCAAACTGTTTCAGCTACCATGCTCAGTTTTCTGTGGTGCACTGTAGAGCACTAGATAGATGTAAACAAGTCGGGGTTAAGGATAAGGTTCACGTCCAGCAACAGTATTGCCTTAAGACATTCTTCTGTCAGTGTTCCACCCTCTGTTGCTCATTTGTGTCCTACACCACTCCATCAATGGCAGCAGCATAACTGTTGTTAGGGTCCTACTTTGAAAAGATTCAAGACAGCATACAGGTGAAAATAGAGCAGACCAAAAAAATTCAGGGAGGACAGCTTTTTTTGAGCTAATCAGTCCCATCACCTATTTGATGTATGACTTCAAAACAACTGTGTTGGCCTAAATGAAAGCTAAAAAGTGTCAGCAGCCACTTAAGCCTGCACTAGTGCTAGAAGCACACATGAAATGCATGAACTTAGTCTAGCAAAAAGAGTCTCCAGATGATTGCTCTCATTAAGCATATACGATGTAAATGTCCAGAAGTTTAAAGAGCTATTGATGCTAAAAGGCAATACTGACAAAGAAGAAATTCGAATAAATTGGTCAGGAATACATGTAAGCTGGAATTGCAAGACATTTGTAAGCATCAGGGCAGTGAGATTCTGAAACAGATGCCAAATAAGCACCAGCAAATGAAAACATCTCTATTTATAACATGGTGCTTGACCAATTAATAAAATGCATAATGTTACTTGGTTACCTAAGATAGCATGAGACTAGATCATCCCAAATGCCCTTCCAGTCCCTATGTTCCTCTGAGGTCCTTCAAAATTAACGCACCTTTATTTATATTGCATTTTTATAATAAATATGTAACTGGCCTCTGCAACTCGCACTGGCCTTTTTCTGAGGTGAATACTATGGCATCTAATACTGTCACTGGAATGACATACAGGGCAGACTATATATTATGCATTTGCATATATATATTATGCATTTGTGCACTGCTTCATCCATTTATGAGAACATTGGGAAGAAAGGCACACAAAGTTTGGTTTGGACTTTCAGCTAAAACAAAGATTATAACAGAGGCAGCTGTTTTCACAAATTATGGTATTAATCTGCCAATCCCAAAAGCAGTAAGAATGGTATTTTTTACAAAAGCAGAGTAAGTTGAATAACACTGAAAAACTTAGTAGCTACATCTAAAAGAGGTTTTTAAAGAACAAAGCCAAGCCTCTAAGTTACAGACTGCAATCTGCAGAATGTCAGGTAATTTCTTTTAGCAACAAATCTACAATTTGATTACTTGATGCCTCTGGAAAACATAAATTTGATTTGATTTTAGAAAGGGGAAGAACCTCTAAAATACTCTATTGAAGCAATACAAACAACGCAATTGAATTTACAGACTTGATTTTTAACTTGTCTTAAATATATTAAACATTTATGTAAGTCTGGTTTTGCTTACAAACATTTTCCGTGACTGAAATATGCCAAGCAAGCTTTTTTTGGCATGTTCCATTAACACTACTAAAATAAAACACAAAAGCCACGATCTTTGAAGAAGCATCAGTGAGGGGTAGCACCAGTTTTAAAAAATACAAACACAAAAAC